CTAGGGGAAGCCTCTGTACCACCAATGGTGTGCACACCATAGTTTGAGACCTAAAACCTAAGGCAAACAGTTCTTAACACTGCATTGCCTCCACATTAGTAACAACACCACAGTAATTATCCATGACCAATATGTGGAACATTAGTCAAGAACAAAAGCTGACTAGCAGACATAAGCAGCCTGCCAGTGTGTGCTTACAAAACAATGTAGCAAAACGATCGAAGAGATTTAGGACATGCTAAAATGTGAATGTTTTAGCAAAGTTGCCTTGAAATGAACTTGAAACTTGACAAAGCACATTACCAGTAGATTAATAATTACATAAAAAAAAGGTAAGAACATTTTCCTAAATGTTAACCAAAAGAAAATCTGAATTCAGCTACACACCATATATCGTGGATTCTAAATTGCTGGAGAAGGTGGTTTTATTTTGCACTGTATTGTGAATAGACCAGGCTGTATTGTCCAAAGTTGTACCATGAAGTTGCAACTTTAAGTAGAAAGGCTTTAATAATAAAAACTATGTCAGGGAAATTAGATCAGAAAATGTTTTGTACTGTTCCCCAGAATCCAGAAAACAAAATCGAACTTTCCTCAGATTCCATTACACAGAACAAAGGTCAAAATGTTGATTTTCTACCATGAGCTTTGGCAGCTTGTGCTCACTGATGCTCTTAATCACACTAACCTTTCCCATCTTATCTCATTTGTAGGTGGAATGTGAATCTGCCCACTGCGATGCTTTTCTAGTCGGGTCTTATCACCTGCCAAAATGAGGCTGATGCCCTGCTCGCCTCCGCCCGTTCTGCCCGCCATTGTGGCTCTCACCTTAGCCGTCGCCGCCTTACCTCTTCTGTCCTCAGGGGCCACACCGTTCCCCCAGGACCTGGAGCCAGTCAGCATCGTGGGCAGAGAGTGTAAGTTCAGACTCACTTTCTGTTGCTATAGTAATCCTGATTGGAGGAATACATGTGAGCAAGAGTTGTTGAGGTGTGTCTCATCACTGGGGAACACAGCTTTGTGATGTGGATCAGTTTGAGGGCATCTTTGCAAAGAGCACATTTGCATTAGTTGGTTTGGATGCTGGCACTGTTTATTGTGTTTGTTTTGTTTTTGTGAAAGTGAGAACTGAAATCAGTTTTTGTGCTGAACATAAGTCAGTGTTAAGATGCTGCTAAATAAGTGTTTACATTAGATTTTATGGCATTGGTGGAAGAACTGTAGAAATAAAGTTTGGTCAGTTGAGATCTGTCAATTTTATTTTTAGTCAAGGACAAGAATCAATAATTTTACCTGAAGCCAAGAAAACAAGGTGAAAGTAGTGATTTAGTTTTTAAATTTCCCCCAGACTTAACCTTATCCAGTTGTTGAATTATAATAGGGATGACCATCACTTGCAATAATTTCATCCCAACTTTTAACATGTACATCTCTGCTACATAAAGAACATAAACAAAATAACTATGTTTTCTAAATCTAATTTATTGTAATACTTATCCTTACCTGTAGACTGTACTTATAACTTCTGGTAGTACACAGTATTGTTAAATTACTGCCTTCTCCCGTTTCTCTTTAGTTAAACTTAAGTAAATCATCAGACATCGGTGTCACTCTCCCGACGCCATTCCCTTAAGGATGTCCCCCTCCGTCCCGCAGCTCCTTGGCCCTGTCTGGCAGGCATTCATCAATGTCCATCATTGAGGAGGTGGTCAGAAGTGATTCCCACTTCTTAATGTAATGGCCCATAATTGATTTAAGAGGTGGCCGAGACCGTGGCCCACGTACTGTAATTGATCTATTTGGAAGAGAGCAACTGGACCATTAGCAGAAATAGCAGCGCGCTAATAGTGCTATATGTGGAGCTCCATCCCAGGTGTAATGAGAGCAATTTGTCACCTCGGCCTCCAGCAGGTGACAGCGTGGCACAAGGTCGCCGAGAAACTCTGCGATACTTCCTTTATGAATGGTTGTCCTCCATCAGGCCACCGTCTGCGAAGCCGAAGACGAGTTAAAACGACCGAATGATTCAACTCAGCACTTTGTCTCGTTGTGACAAACTCAGGGCTGAGTGGTTTTCACTGAATCACTTTTTTTTGTTTGCACCATTAAAGTGTTTTGTTGCTTTATTTCATTCTTGGCACAGTGCACATACAGTACACGACAAGGCTTTTTGTTACTTAAAGGGAGAAGTCACATTAAAAACAGTCACAATAACTGTTAGAAGTTACATTTTCTGAAGAACTTTCTGACTAGTTTGGATTACTGGAAAATTCTTTATGAATTTCTTTTTACTGTGGCTGTTTTACTGAGAGACACAAACATGTCTGGAGTGGAGAGGAGAATGATTTTATCAGTTTGCCGACAATAATAGCAGCAAGAGTTTTATTGGACCTTCTCTGTCCAAAGGCTGTTTGGACCTTTGTGAATTTAAGAATTAAAGCCAACACTTTCATGGTTTTCAAGTCAAGTCTTTCAGTTGACAGTTTTGCTCATATAGGCAGGTGAAATTCTGATCATGTAGATGACCTTGAAAATATTCAGTGGACTCTCCAGCCACTAAAGAAGTGCAGTGGTCACTCCTGTGCTGATTGTCAACATGCTTTATATAGGATCAAAAATGAACCAACAGTTATATTAGATTATATACTACAAAAAAAAAAACAAAAAAAAAAAACAATTGAGACAGTTCACTTGAAGGGAGCTTGTTTAGGATGCAAATAATGTTAGAAACTAGTTTCTCAATGCCATGGAATTAATAATAATAACAATAATAGTAATAATTTAAAATGTTTTGATCCCCTATTTGGGAAACCTTTGTGTTAACAGCCCCCAGCAGGTGCCCAGTATGTGGGTATTACTGGTTATAACAACACTGTTTTCCTCATTTCCTAAAATAGAACTATTAAAGTGACTTCTTCATCATAAGATGTTTTGCATGCAGTCCTAAACTCTTGCCCTCTGTTGCTACAGCTTAACTTTTCTAACCAAAAAGCTCGATCCAGTTCTCATGTCTCGTCTCATGTCTGGTCCGTTGCTGATCCTGCAGCTGAAAACGCAGTGCTCTGTGAAAACAGTTTGAGGCTGGGTTCCAATCCCACTCAGGTGATTTGAATCGACTTAAGGTTTCAATGGTTTGTACCAAGGTGGCCGTAAAAGCCCGAGGATGTGGAGCCAGCTTTTAATTCACTCTCGCTCATTCATGTTTAGCCAAGAAGCCAGGATTAAACTCTGGACATCAACCCCCCTGACCCCCTGTAGCTGTGAGCGGTGCCCTGACTGCCCCTTCAAACTTTGCTGGGTGAGACAATGCTGAGGAGTAATTAAAAAAACCCTCATTCGCTTCTGAGAGGAGTGTGTAGCTGGGCCACTAAGCCACTAAGCTGCAGGGAGCCTCTCCACCACAGACAGTACAGCAGGGTCCTGCTCTCAGCCAACATTAGGAGTTTAAATCTCTGAACGGTCGATTGGAGACGAGCAGTTAGGGGACCGTACGACTCCCTGTGGAGAGACTCGTTTCAGGTTGTGGTGTACTTCTAGAGGGGGTTGCTAATTCAGCAGCCACCCAGGTCAGAAGGGAGGCTGGAGGGTACTTAAATACTCTACAGATGGAGATCGCTGTGGCCCTGAGCCCAATCTATACCTGGGTTGAAAAAGGAAAAGTGCAGAGGAAGTCTCAGTGATGTGGAAGTCGACCTGGTGTCAGTCCACTGCCATTGTTGAGTGGACTAGCTTCATTCCTGCCTCCGGCTACCATCTGTTCCACTTCTAAATGTACACGTCCTTTTATGGACTGTCATCATTTTAATGTTACTGTTAAACTCCCGCTGTTTTAATTGATCAGCGTCCGACTCTAAACACCCTTAAAATATTTCAATTTGTACTTACATTTGGCACAGACTACATACTGTACATGTACTGTACAACTCTATAGGACAAATACTTGCAGGACAGAAAGAGTCACAGCAGCATCAACAACAAACTGAGTATTTAGAGATTTTAACATCTCTGATTGGCTGTTTTCTCCCATCCCATTTTCCATCCACAAAATCAGTTCAGTTCAGCTGTGTGAGATGTGTATCAAATGTGAATGATGGTGTGGACGGTGTATTTCCATGTGTTTTTGTGCTGCAGCACACTCACTTCTGTATTTGGATCTATTTCTTATTCATAGCTTTTCCAGGTGGACACATTTTAGTTGCATTGCCAGACACCATACAGCTGAATTCTTTTTTCTTTTTTTTTGACCTCCGACCCCCCCACTATTTCTATTTAAGCACGGCTCGACCAGAGGGAGACACCCTACCATTGAGACACTCCTTGATTTCCCTCCTTGTCCTTACTTGGCTCAGTCCCCAGACCTGTCTGTTAAAAGCATTTAGAGCTGTTTATTTAAATCAGAATGACTTCTTTGACACCAACGCAGCGTCTCCAAAAATACTCATTAGCATAACGTCTGTGTATAGGTCAAATTATAACCTTCAGTTTGTTTGGCTTTTTTCTTTTCTTTTATCTACAAAAGTGTCATTTTCTGAAGTATAGATAAATGTCGTCTGGGTTATTACAAACAAAACAAGTTTGATTTTCTTTTTTTTTTATGTGGAAATAATCTTGTTTCTCTCCTCTGCCCAAGCAATTATAATATTTCTCTCTTTTTTCTCTACATATGTATACAGCATCATACCTCTACCCGAGCTTCCAGGGACTCTTGTCGGACAATGACACCGTCCGCCTAGGCCTGGACTTCCAGAGGATGCTGAAGATCAACCACATGCTCTACATTGCTGCCAGGTCAGTGACAGTCACTATATAGTTATTATAATATTTTATATATATATTATATATACTGCTTTAATGTTACAGTGAGTATATTTGATTCATAGCATTTTTATAATAAGAAGAATTCTAGTGAAATATTATGATTATTCTTTACCCTTGGATATCCCAGGTAAACCATAAAGAGCATTTTCAAAATTGTCCAAATATTATATAATGTGCTTATTATTCTATTCACCAACTGGTAAATTTTTGCTATTATTGTTATTATTGTGCTGCAGGAGATAATACTAATGATATTACTTAGAATATCGTATTATTATTACTATTATTATGAATAGGAGTAATTTTTAAAATAAAAAACTCATTACAATTTTTCACTTGTTAAATAAGTTTCAACATTGATTTGACTCTGTTTTTAAACTTTTCTGAGGAAAACCAAGGGTTCACAATGTCAATGTAAAATCTTCTCCGTTCTGAAAGCTCCACATAAAATCTTCTCTAAATAGATTCTTCTCTGCTCAGGGCATTCTCGAGGTGTGAATGTTCCACAACTTGCTTATATATTTTAGTAGTGTGATTCATTTGAGGCGGCACCTCCACAACAAACTACTTTCAGATTTGGCAGCACCTTTAAAAGCGTTTCTCCCGCAGCTCTCTGCCTAATTGTGTGTTGCCCGGGCTCTCGATCAAGATGTCGTAGGTTAATTATCCAAAAGGTACGAGGTGGCAGCTCCTCTCCTTATTTTCACTGCACTGGATAAATTCTGCCCTACGTCTTGGCTTCTTCTCAAAACACAGTGCAGAAGGTGCCAAGGGCCTCCAAATGTATGGCGTCTCTTAATGTACACAAAGTGACAAGTGTTTTTTTTTTGTTTGTTTTTTTTTCCTTCTTTCCAAACAACACTCCTCACTCCTCCCGGTGATTCATATGGATTTGCTGACGGCCAGGAAACTTTGGCTGTTGGAAAAGTTTTTTGTGAGCTTCTGAAATTGAAAAGCCAATAAAAGTGCCTGTTGTTGCGGCTTCAATCTGCCGTTGTTGAATGGCATTGATCGTTCCTTTTCCAACAAATTAGAAGCTTTTCTTTTTTTTTTGAGGGTGGGTTTTTGAGTGAAAGCGTTGAGACAGAGGATTGTAGAGCTTTGTAAATCCTCTAATGGTAACCCAACTCTGTCTCTTGCAGGGACCATGTGTTTGCCATCAATCTCGCAGAGTCATCTGAGCAGATAATCCCAAAACAGGTAGGAACGTCTGTTCAACATTAAATCTTCTGCTCTTCAGATGGTTGTTAAAACTCCAGCATTTGGTTCCAACATAAGTAACATATGCTTCTTCGTGCACAGTTCGAGACTAATTTGTTAGTTACCAGAGGTGCTGTTATTTTGGGGCATTGTTAAACCGATACTAAAACTAATAATTGACTAAAATCCACATTCAGTCGAAGTAAAACGATAACATCCATGTGTCAGATGGAAAAAAAAGTAGCTTAGCATGTCAACAGTGGTGCTCGGAGGAAATATCTTGGAAGCTATCAGTGATCATCTGGCCACAAATGAGACCACAGAGACTAAAGGACCGTATTTGGGACTTCCTGTATAGACGGCAAAAATCATCGCCAGGACTTCTGTTTTCCATCCGCTGTTAGACGTTTTTAGCAAAGCAAGCACAGAAATAGAGTAACTGTTTGAAAAAATAGAAAATTTTTAAATTTTTCTTTTTTTTTTCATAGAACAATTATAGACTTACTGCATTTATAGATAAACACAGATGCTTTCAAAATCCTTGAGACATAACACATTACATTATATCTTACCTATTAAACCATAGAATGCATAAAACAAACATTTATTCACTGACACATTCACTTGAATTGTAAAACAATACAGACTAGAAAATGTTAAATGTGTATAAAATACTTACTTTTTAATGTTCAGCTTCTTAACATTGAGTGTTGCCAAAAAAAAAAAAACAAACTAATGAGTTCTTCATAAAAAAACAAACTACATTAAAAACAGAACTGTCAAAAACCTTCAGAATTTAACAGGGAAAAAAAAACTTGTTGGTGTATCTTATTGTTTTCCTATCTATGTTTTTCCTGCCTTTCCATTCAAGTATTAAGCAAACCCTCTTCAGACATGCATCCAATCCAAGTGGAGTGGTGCTCTGGCGGCTGCTGAAGTGCCACGCTCGCTCCTATCTGAATCTCATTTGTCAAACATGATTGCACTTAAATAAAAGCCCTCAGAGGCCTGGGCTTTTGTTTGCTTGTATTTAGATTAGTGCCAAACATGGGTTTTTCAGTCTGATCAGGCAGCCGCTCCATGTCGGGGGGATCTAAGCTATTGATTGGGGTTGTCCGACATCTGAGCTCGACAATGTTACGTGATGCATTTGTTTAGCCATTCAGAAAGAAAAAGAAAAAAAAAGCACAACTGCGCGGCCTTACTGTGTCGGCGGGAAGGGAGAAGAAAGTTATTGAAGAAAACCCTGCCAATAGATGAAGAGAACTGCGCATCCTCTTCATCACAGATCGGTGTCTTCACTTTGGCTCATGTTTAAAACCAGCTTCGGTCTTCTTACAGCAGGGTGCTTATTCACATTCTCCACCATGGTGATTTCCACGGCTCTGTGTGGCCATATGTATTTATTAGTAAACCAAATCCAACACGGACAAGGCAAGACCTATTAGCATAATGCTGACTCCCAGGGATTCTTGTCAGATCCTTACACAGTCACACAGTGGGTGTTCTGAGCGAAGACCCGGGGTGCTGCATTTTAACCCACAGACTTGAAAGAGACTGTCAGTCAGGCATTGATGGATATGTTAGTCCTTATCACACTGATGAAACCCTCTGATTAAAAAAAAACTGTAATAACCTGTGGCGTGTTTGGAGTCGGAGATACAGGAAACCAGTCATAGCATGTACTGTAAGGGAATCCCCCTCCTAAAGACAAAGACATATTCTGTAGTTTGTGTACTTACAACAAAAACCATGGAAATCCCAAAAGATCTGTATTAGTGTAGACAGCAGTCATTAGCTTTTATGGCATCTCTTATTCTAGAATAACACACAAGATTACACAATATATAATGGTGATGTTAGGTTCAGAGAAAACCAAAATAACGTGTTATAGAAATGGAAACTGTGACTGATTTGGGGTTGTGATTTATCATCCAATAATATAATATAGGTTTGAAGTTTTTTCAAATTTCCAATACTTCTCGAGTCTTATTTAATGCTCTCTTTATGTATGTAAACAGGTCAGGATTGTTTCAGCCCCACCTGTCCCCGTCGGCCCAACAAAAAACCTGACAAACTACATTTGTAAATGTATTGAACTAAACCAAATAACGTCATACGTTATAATAAATAACATCAGATAATACAAAAGTCAAAGAAGAGACCATAAAAGTGCAGCTGTGCCATCATCAGTTGAACCATTGAAAATGTCCTCCCGTTTTTCGCACCACACTTTTCATGTCTTCGTTCCCCACCAGTGGGAAGCACTGAGCTATACCGTACAACATCCCCGAATGATTTACAGTGGTTTGTATCACTATCAGCTAATCACCTTTTTCAGTGGTGGTCTTGAGTTCCCCTGGTAGTCCACACTCACAATTTCCACTAGTACTGTCCCTGGTTTAGGGTACGAGCATGTTCTAGAAAAACATACTGAATAACACATGTAACAGACAACATTTAGCATAAATGAGCAACAGAGTGATTCAGTTGAAGAGACCCTGCAGCTGAACCCAATATCCATCCTCACTAATCAGTTGTTTTGTCGCTTGGGAAAACCTATTTTCTTGCATGGAAAACTATGACTGAAAAAACATCTGACAAACAGCATGTTACTGTCACAAGTTTCACAAAACCAAAAAAAAAAAAAAAACTTTTCAGTGTACATTTACTTCTTGTTCCAAACAGGAAGCTCTGTGGTCAATTTATAAAACACTAACCCACATGATCAAAGATGATTTCAGATCCGTCCTTCAGACACAACAATTACTTCTGAAGATTGTGTAGATTTTCTTATAACTTACTGGCCCCGCAGCAGTGAATACCGTCATTGAACAATCTTGTATCTGGTGGAGAGTTGACCTTGGGCAACTTCTCTGTGAAAAGTAAAATAATTTATTGGTATAAACTAAAGTCAACTCCTGTTTACTCCTGTCTGAGGAAATGTTTTCAGAGGAAATGAGCTCATTAAGTACATCTGAATAAAGCCCTTCTCTTATCACGAGTGTCTTCGTTTCATCAAAACAGCTGACAGTTTTCCCCCGCCCCAGGGAACCACACTGAATTCACAAGTTTTTGACTAGTTTCTGGTGCTGCTGCGGAAAATAAGATTATGAGCCACCAGGGAGTGACTGACATGAAAACAACAGAATGAGGAGCTTTAGTTTTAGGTGTTTTTCAGGGACTCACAGTGTAATAGTGCAATAGCGTACTAGCATTTAGCGCCACAGAAACATCGAAATTGATTATAATCATGGGTGGAGTTATTGTAAAGCGGCCATTGATCGCAATTTTAATATCTAAACATCCACTTTTGGCCAATTTTGTACTTTTCAAACTAGATATGGATCTTCCTGCTTTCCTTTCATCTTTCATTTTTTTACATTTTTTAACAACAAAATATTAAAAAATCAACCTGCTGCTCCCATATTTTGGCAGACTGGTTTGTAGACTTGCAGTCTGTCAGTTTTAACATCATCATTTAATTTTTTCTTAGGTGTCAAACTATGGCATCAGCCTGAGGATGTGATTGAAATCACTACTGACAAATAATCACTTCTCCAACCAGCCCTTTAAATAGAACAACATTGCTTTATTGGTTGCATTCAGTAAACATTTCAACTCTTTGACGACATGCACCGTCTACTGAAGAAAACTACGATGTATGCTCTTTGTCAAGTTTGAAGGAAGGACATCTTGGGCTTCAGTTCTCTGTTTGAACTGCATTATAAATGAATAGATTCCACGTGGTAAACATCAGGTAGACATTTCCCATCCACAGGAGTCAGAGTACATTAATAAATAAACTCACATTACTGCCAGCAGAAGTGTGCCCATGTCTGGATGTTGACGTAACGTCCATGACTGTGTCAAGACGGTGATTAAAAATGTGGTTCTGTATGAAAGCCTGTGGATGTTTACTTATTTAAAAATCATTAGTGTTTGTGAAAACAATGGACGCCATAGTTGAGTTGTACTGTAGGACATGAGCTCAGGAAAAGTTACACTGTTTGACATCCAAACAAACAATATAACAAGGCTGTCACTGTAATCCAGCAGTCCATAACCTTTTTCGTACCAAGGACCAGTCAGTCGGTAGGGGCTGTTACTGTGGACTAGTAGCACCGTACCATTACATTTTCAAAATAAAACATGTTTTAGATTTTATTCTGTTAGTGGAGTCTGGATGACAGATTATTTTGAAATATTGTCAGATTCTCTTTGAATGAAGTAAATAACTGAAAATGAAGTACATTTTTCAGTGTCCCACTGCGGGCCATTAACAAATGACCCATGGACTGTTACCAGTCTGCAGACCTGGGGTTGGGGACCCCTGCTGTAAACTATAATTAATCTGACACTCGAGGCATTCTGGGTTTTTTTTTTTTGCTGGATTATTTAGTTACTCTATCAGACAATTTAAAGGGCCGTGCTACAGTTTTAACTCTACAGCCCCATTATAATCCACAGGAGTTTATGGTTCAAAGGTTAAGGGTTTCAGGGCGGACACGAGGAGTGGGTCTGTGTCTCCGTCACTCAGGTTCATGAACTGTGAGTGGATACATGCAAAATCAATTCAGTGGGAATCGGTGAATGAGCACAACTGTTGGGTTTACTTAGTGGTATCGATGTGCTCTCAGAATTCAGGTCTTTAAATTATCTGTCATTACATGTGAACACATTAAACCTTTTACTGGCCGACCTTGCTAACTGGCTGATGGATGTTTTTCCAATGTACTGCACTTCAGCAGTAGGTGTGTGCATGTGCATGTGCATGTGGGGTCAGGGCGAGGCTAATTGGCTGCCCCGGCCCCCGTACCCTCTGATTCTTCGGTGTTCTTGAACATCCACACACGCCTCGCTGACTGACATTTCTTAGTCGGTGATTTGCCACAACAGGCACGGGAGCAGGCTGCACAAACAGCCATGATTCGCCTATTGTTTGTTTGTTTCGTTGTTTGTTTGTTTTCCCTCCACAGCAGCTTATTGAAGTTAATGAGATTTCCATCACAGCTGTCTCTTAGCAGCACTTAAACGATTGGGACCAAGAGAAGCTGTGATGGTGAGAAACAGCTTGTCTTTGAGCTGACAGTTGGCTGTCTGTTCATTTTTCAGAAACTGACGTGGAAGACAAAGAACGTGGAGAAATGCACTGTGAGGGGGAAGAACAGCGTGAGTACACTCATTCTTTATCGTAATCTGCATCTCTGTTTATGTTCACCTCTGCCTTTGATTCTCCTAAAAGGTGTTGTGTAATGAGCAGTGGTTGGAGGGGAACTTATCAGAATCAATGCCACAGGCACCAGGGGAAGGAACATGTATTTAGGAACATTTTTCAGATAAGAGAAAATACAGGGATCAACCTGGGACAAAAATCCTGCCTGTTTTTTCTATATTCCCTTTTTTCCTCCTGATGACATTTTTGGCACATGATCATATCAAAAGTTTGTACCATGACAAGCACACAACGCAGGGTTTTTGATTAAAAAAAAAAAAAACACTAAAAGGTCTCCCTCCAAAATCCAGTGCTGAATGGCATCCTGGCTAACATGTGCAGCTCATACTACTGATGTTGCTAAGCTAACCTAATAGCCTGGCCTGTAAACAAGGTTTTACAGTATCAGTGTGCTATCTTAGGATTGGCTAAACACAACACAATTACTAATGTCAAGAAATCACCACAGCAGGAAAGGATCGATTTCATAACAGCTTATTTAGTTACTCTATCAGACAATTTAAAGGGCCGTGCTACAGTTTTAACTCTACAGCCCCATTATAATCCACAGGAGTTTATGGTTCAAAGGTTAAGGGTTTCAGGGCGGACACGAGGAGTGGGTCTGTGTCTCCGTCACTCAGGTTCATGAACTGTGAGTGGATACATGCAAAATCAATTCAGTGGGAATCGGTGAATGAGCACAACTGTTGGGTTTACTTAGTGGTATCGATGTGCTCTCAGAATTCAGGTCTTTAAATTATCTGTCATTACATGTGAACACATTAAACCTTTTACTGGCCGACCTTGCTAACTGGCTGATGGATGTTTTTCCAATGTACTGCACTTCAGCAGTAGGTGTGTGCATGTGCATGTGCATGTGGGGTCAGGGCGAGGCTAATTGGCTGCCCCGGCCCCCGTACCCTCTGATTCTTCGGTGTTCTTGAACATCCACACACGCCTCGCTGACTGACATTTCTTAGTCGGTGATTTGCCACAACAGGCACGGGAGCAGGCTGCACAAACAGCCATGATTCGCCTATTGTTTGTTTGTTTCGTTGTTTGTTTGTTTTCCCTCCACAGCAGCTTATTGAAGTTAATGAGATTTCCATCACAGCTGTCTCTTAGCAGCACTTAAACGATTGGGACCAAGAGAAGCTGTGATGGTGAGAAACAGCTTGTCTTTGAGCTGACAGTTGGCTGTCTGTTCATTTTTCAGAAACTGACGTGGAAGACAAAGAACGTGGAGAAATGCACTGTGAGGGGGAAGAACAGCGTGAGTACACTCATTCTTTATCGTAATCTGCATCTCTGTTTATGTTCACCTCTGCCTTTGATTCTCCTAAAAGGTGTTGTGTAATGAGCAGTGGTTGGAGGGGAACTTATCAGAATCAATGCCACAGGCACCAGGGGAAGGAACATGTATTTAGGAACATTTTTCAGATAAGAGAAAATACAGGGATCAACCTGGGACAAAAATCCTGCCTGTTTTTTCTATATTCCCTTTTTTCCTCCTGATGACATTTTTGGCACATGATCATATCAAAAGTTTGTACCATGACAAGCACACAACGCAGGGTTTTTGATTAAAAAAAAAAAAAAACACTAAAAGGTCTACCTCCAAAATCCAGTGCTGAATGGCATCCTGGCTAACATGTGCAGCTCATACTACTGATGTTGCTAAGCTAACCTAATAGCCTGGCCTGTAAACAAGGTTTTACAGTATCAGTGTGCTATCTTAGGATTGGCTAAACACAACACAATTACTAATGTCAAGAAATCACCACAGCAGGAAAGGATCGATTTCATAACAGCTTAAAAATCTAAAATCATTTCAAATCTGGGAAGATTAATCAGATTACATTTTTAACATAGAAGCAGAAACAGAATGACGTGCACTGTATATCCCATAATTCCACAATCCATCCACCGTCACTGTCTGTACACATACCATCTTATATAAAACAGCACCTTACACACACATACACCGTGCTTGTGTGTGGAGGCGGCTGGAGATTTCACATTAGTCTGGCTTGTGTCAGACCAGAGAAGGTACTGACATCAAGCAGAGATTCTAAGAACTGAGGGTTCCGAGGCTACATCTATTTATTATACTGTACGTAGTCCATGTTTAGTTCTTACATAATCATACAAAAATAAAAAATATGATGTATTGCAAAATAGTTACCAAATAATTTGAAAACAAAATTGTTTACCTTCTCCAAGTCTTTTTTGTGGTGCTACTGCGTTGGCGTCCACGTGAATCTGTTCCTCAAGCCCTTTTCTCCTTCTCCTCACAGGACGAATGTTACAACTACATCAAAGTGCTGGTTCCCCGTAACGATGAAACACTGTTTGCCTGCGGCACCAATGCCTTCAACCCCACCTGTCGTAACTACAAGGTAAGACAACAGCGCGCCTGCGTGCTGCCTCCAGGCTTCAATTACCCATAAAACACCTCATTGCAGTTGACCTCACACGCTTTTGACCACAGCTTTGAAGGCGACATTTGATTTGTACGCCGTTATTTCTGCTGTAAACTGGGAAACAACTAATCACCCGTCACGTTCGGTCCGAGCTGCATTTCTGTGAAGGTGCCATTAGACGAGATACGGTGTCATAAATGCTCACATAAACACAGTTCTCACACAGGCTCCGGCACAGATGGTGGGTTATGCATCAGTGAAAACAGGTTTACAGGTTGAGTCAGGGCCACATGTACAGCAAGGTGTGCTGCCACCTGCTTTCAATGCAGTCATGTTCATCACATCTTAGAATTTTCTGAATTCATTTGCATTCAAGTGTCCTCTCAGTACAAGGTTTAATGTCCTTTATTTATTCAGATAAAACCTCTCTTACAAGGCTGACCTGGCCAACAGGTCAGGCGCACAGGCCACTAAAACAGTAATCCTAAGTAGCTCACAAGTTGCTTTCTCTTCCTGCTGTATTTACTTGCTGTATTTGCTCTCTTTGTTCCTCTCGTCTACTGTTATTCCACATTCTTATTAACCCTCGACCAGAAATCCCCTCAGTCATATAATTTGATAATTAGGTAATAAAAAGTGTAATTTACTGGATGAAGTTTAAATTGTGAAATTGTAACTCATAATCATGACCTAGTATGATTACTCGTTAAATCGAGGTTATATTAATATTAAGATGAAATATCACAATTATGCAACGAGAATTCTGTAATGATTTTTAAAGTCTGCCGAAAAGCCATAATAATTAAAGAAAAAAAAAATATAATGTAATATTGCACAGATAGGTGTATACTACACAAACTGAGTCATAATTACAAGAAATTAGATGAGATACTGTATTCGATGTTTTATAATTATGTACATACTTCTAATCTCGTATTTTGGACTTCATTGGCTTAACCCTCCTTTAAAACAGCTTTAAATGTTATTGTTTTTTTTTAATTATAGTCCTAAATCATGAGGTTGTTCGGTTTTTCCTCTAGTGTGTACTGTGAAAAAGTACTTAATAGTAGTCAACATTGTTTGTGGAATCTAGTGAAATTTGGCAATAAGATAACCATTAAAAAAGCCAGGTCTGGAAGCCAGAGCTTCGACTTTTATTCAGTGATGACACAACAAACAGCTGTAATCTGAAAGAACACGCTCACACGTGAGAATGTCAGACCAAATCCCTAATGAAAGATGTATTGTTTAACCAAGACTGACATCATATAGTGAGACATCCATAAACAAAGGACTCCTCTGCTTATCACTCCATTTTCCTAAGCATTTCATGAATAACATTGGCCTTTGAATACTAGAAAAATTTCACCTCCCAGAAATTCTGTCATTCAGTCTAGACTTTCCTGGAATTTGCTTTTCTTTTTGGTTGTGTTTAAAACTCTCAGCTTTGAGTCTGCAATGTAGAATACCAAAGATGCTAGCCTTCACAATGTTCATAAACAGTTTTTTATTCTACAAATTTGAACTTGAGTTGACAGAGACATTTGACAGACACGTGCAGTTCTTCTGTGTTTTGACCGCAGCAGTGATGTGATAGCGGACCCGCACCAATGAACGACAGAACACTGGTGTTGGTTCAACAAGGGCAAAGATAAAGAAATCTGTTGACAGGAAAATCAGACTCTCTGATGATAGCAATAATACAGCAGCTGCTTTTTAAACACACACACACACACACACGAGGCTTAAGCAGGGAGACAAGCAGCAGATGAGGTTCTCAGCTGCACCTTGTCTCCATTAATATTATCCCCCACTGCATTGATAAATAACAGCAGGAAGAGTCAAAGCACCGCACTTCAGAAAAGACACAAACCATGTGGTTTAGGACAACGTGAAGGCAAGTTTGAAGTGTGTCGAACTGAACCAGCAGCAGCACAGAACCATCAGAGCAGGAGGGAATAGGAGTCTTACAGCACAGATAATAAATCTAACAACAGTGGGGGGTGAGTAACGGGGGGTGAGGGGCTGTAATCCAGAGAGAGGCTCAACAACTCAGGACTATATTTCAGTGAATCCTTTTTTTTTTTTTTGTCTTTCCACTGCTATACAATGAACTGACTCAGTGGTCCGTATCAGGGGGTTAGTGTGCGCGGCGTTCTTCTCTGGTTTCTGTGTTAGCGCCCAGTGAAATTATAAATCATCTTTACGTTCATATGGCCATAACAAAAGCATATTGTTCTCTATGGAAAACCCCATTTCGGCCAGTCAATGGGAATAAATTGAAAACACAGCCCTGATAATACGGGAAGAACACTCCGGCTCAGTCAGAATTACAAAAATGAATTCATTTAAACCCATAACTGAAACTTGAACTCACAGTTTTGGCTTTGCATGGATGAAGTTTGAACCCTTTTCCTTCACTGGCAAAAAGAGGGTTTCATTTCATGTATGTAAATGAGTGTGAACATTTAACTTAAGTACAATCTCAGCCGACTTTTGATTAATTTACTATTATTACTATTATATATATATATATATATATATATATGAAATTGAAAGCAACAAGGCATACAGTGAAAAAGTAGGATTGACATTTAACCATATTTACATTATAACATTATAATGTAATATGATTTATATAACGTTCCTTACATTATAATCTATAGAAATGTTACACAAATCATGCATTATTTTAAATGAATTCAAAAGTAGGCATTTTCCATTGGTCTTCATAATTAACTAAATAAAATTGTTATTTAATGTGGCCCATTTTAGAAGACAACAAGATTTTGTCCATCAACTCAGTTCTTTTTGTTTTCTCTGATGTTCTAATCCTAAAAAAAAAAAAACCCAGAGTTTTTAACATTTTTTTATTTCACATATTCCCCAGTTTAAATAGCCTTGCTGCATAAGTTTTGTACACCATATAAAGTTTGTTACACACTGACTGATGTAATCCGATAAAATCCTGCAGTTAAAATGTTTGATCAGAGCATCGTGTTAAAAATAGCAGTGAGTTTAAACTGCCATAACAGGTAGTAGAAGGTCCTACAGTGTAGAGGCCTCTGAAATAAAAACACAGCATTGGCAGGTAACATGTAAATGCTCCCCAGGTTTATGTCTGCTGTGTCACAGAGGACCTGCAGAGTCTCAGTGCACAGCTCCACCACGGTTTACCTTAAAATGTTTTGAAGAGTCTGAACTCATGGAAAACAGACGTCGTCATCCTCCTGCCACGGGCTCCCTGCAGCCACGAGCCACTGATTTACAGTTTAAGCAAAACACATCCACAGTTTCCTTCGCTGTGCGACCTCCCCAGCTGTGTTTCTGCATCACACCAACCCCACAGCACCATAAAGTCAGGGGGGGAAAACACACAGGAGATGACTATTCAGACAGCTGGGGAAAGAGGGAGCACGTGTGAGCCATATCAAGGAAACTGGCTGTGGGACGACCTGGAAAATCTGTGATAGACAACGGGGAATTGAGTGAGAAGTGGCTGTGGGTTTAATGTGTGTGTGTTTGTGTGTGTTGGTCAGAGACACAGATGAATGAATGTACCCAGCTATGAGCATGTAGCTCCACTGACCAGACTGCTGAGACAGCTGGTCTGCAGACAACAGAGAGGCTGTCTTCAACATGCGTTGCGAGATACAAAGACGAACCTTGAAGCGTCAAATCCATCTGTCTTCATCTGCCCCCGGCGCGAACCATGCTGCCATCACAACAAAAGCTTTGTTGAAACCTCACTTCTTGTCTGACTTCTGAGCTGCTTTTCTTTTAATGTCACCACCAACAACTTCTTTATGTCAAACCCTGTCAGAGGGAGTCTCATCACCGCGCAGCTCTCAAATTCAACAGACAGAGGAATCGGCTATCATTTGATGATGACAAACTCTGATTCCTTTATGCTAACACAGCCAAGGTTTCCCTTTTATACATCAGATTATCTTTATGTATTGTTCTTCAGAAATGATCAAGAAAATGTTTTGGACGCATTTCCTAATATTTACATCCTGTTTGGAATGTAACTCCAGTGACATCAAAGTAGTTTTTAAGTACGTTTAAGAGAGATGTGTCTGGGTCAGACTTTAGTGATGGAATCTAAATTGAAAGTCTTGCTTCTTAGACATTCAGCTTTAGGAGGTAATACTGGAACTGTATAATAAAAGGCCTGCTCTCATTCAATGGGAAAAGTCTTTGTCTTCTACCTTCAAGACTTGTCTT